AAAACCCAGAAAATCAATTAAAACCCAGAACATCAATTAAAACCCAGAAAATAAAAAAATATATTCGACAAAAAAACCCAGAAATTAAAAAAAAAAATTCGAATTAAAATAAGTTAAAAAATTGATTAACCAAACTAGAAAATCGAAAATCACTTTAAAAAAACAAATTTAAATCGATTAAAATAAAAAATAAATCAATAAAACAAATTTAATTCGTGGTGGATTAAACAATTTTTTTTTTAAAGAAGCCCATAAAAAATTTCGAAGACACTCATCAAATCAATTAAACCCAAAATCAACTTCGAACAAACCCAAATCAACTTGATGTTACGGTGGTGGTGGCGGCTTTGCGGTGTTGTTGCATGTTGTTGTTGTTGTTGCGGTTAATTATTGCATGTTGTTGTTGTTGTTGCGGTTTAAGGGAGAGCAGAGGAGAGATCGAGAAGGTGTTGTTGCGGTGGTATTTGAAGAGAAGAGGTTCGAAGAGAAAGAGAAGAGATTAAGGGAGAGCAGAGGAGATAGAGCAAGAAGGCAGAGGAGATAGAGCAAGAAGGGAGAGCAGAGGAGAGAGAAGGGAGAGGAGAGAGTGATGAAAGAGGCGGACTGAGAGGAGAGAGAAGGAGCAAGCTAAGTTTTAGGGTTTTAAGGAGAGATAAGGCCAGTTTTTATTTTTTAAATAATAAAAGGTCCGGTTCACAAAGGCACCGGTTCAAACCGGTGGCCTTTGTGATTTTGGCACCGGTTTGAAGTGAACCGGTGCCTTTTACTCTGGTTTACCTTCCCACCAATTTTGTAGGCCATTTTTGGCACCGGTTTTAACTGAACCGGTGCCAATTAGGAGGTGCCTTTTTGATATTTTCTACTAGTGCTTGTATTGCCCTTAGAATCTCACTATCCTTTTAAGGTTTTACTTGTACCCACAATAGGCCAACCAATAACTTTCAGCCACTACCAATTCCATCAAACTATACTTTTAAATTGTTGAATAATAAGTGTATGTGGTGTCATTTCTATGTCCTCTGTAAACTTTGATAGAATTAAAGTGACTTTATCTTGATTACATTGTTTAGCTGTTCATTTTGAGCTGGTGGTTGCCCAATTTTCTCAAGGTTCTATCTGGGGCCTCTATTAGGCTTCATAATACTTGATTCCTCTGCCTTCTTCCCCACCATTTCTCTTTGTGAGATGTTCTTTTTAATTAGTGTTCTAATAAATCACGCGCAAGTGACACTGTCATATAAATATAATTATGAAATGACCATTCATCACAACAAATAAGGCGAATATAAGAATATTGGATAAATTTTAAAAATATATAGAAAGCACTCCTTTGATTTTTGAAGTACAGATGAACACGACATGTGAAACTAATGTCACAAAAGATTATTTTTTTCGTCTTTTTTAAAGATTGAACCTTGCCATAGGTGAACAATTCAAATACTTTAAATATAGTTGGTGTACTGTTAAAGATTGAACCTTGCCATAGGTGAACAATTCAAATGCTTTACATATAGTTGTGTACTGTTAACAAACTTTTGCAAGTGTTTAGAACATATGATGCATGTGGTTACAACAATTATGCCTGGAATTATTTTTTTTTTTTTATTTATTTAGGAAAATTTGCCAATTACTACCGTAAGTTAATACCACTTTGTAAATTACTACCGCAAATTAAAAGAGTCGTGAATTACTACTGCAAAATTTTTTAAAATGTTGCGATTACTACCAAACTCCCATTAAATCCAACTATGACGTCATTATATCACTTTAACCCATAGTTAAAGCTCTTAACCATGGTCAAACATGGGTTAAAGCCCTTAACCATGACGTCGTTATATCCCTAACCCATTTTCTTTTTTTTGGGGGCTGGTTAAAGCCCTTAACCATGGTCAAACATGGATTAAAGGGATATAATGACGTCATAATTGAGTTTAATGGGGGTTTGGTAGTAATCGCAATATCTTAAAATTTTTTGCGGTAGTAATTCACAACTTTTTTAATTTACGGTAGTAATTTATAAAGTGGTATTAACTTGCGGTAGTAATTGGCAAATTATCCATTTATTTATAATCATTTTAAAACTCTATTTTTTATTTTATTTTTTTATTTTTTTGAGGAAATTTTAAAACTCTTTAGTACACAAGAAATATAGACAATATTAAACAAAAAAAATATGCCCTCCTTCTTGTCTCGTATATTAAGACGAATATATTGGTTTGGTGTTACTAATATTAAGAATATTATTCAGCACATAAATATGTTCTCTAAGTGGTCTCTAACTGTTATGTTATTAACCTTATAACAAATTAACAATTATGATCGTGCTTTTATTAAAATATTAAAATACTAGAGGAGCCTAGGATCATGATTATAGAAGTTGACATGGTATTTTAAGGTTGGAATTATGGATAGAAATTAGAAACTAGTAGAGTTGTCCACGAATTTAACCTAACACGAAACACACTGCCTAATTGTAAGTGACTTATTCTAGATTTTGATCTGTTTGTACATAATAATTATGCTCTCAAGTAATCATTGTAAAGACATTTATCATTGAAACCAATTTAATTATATTGAGATTTTTTGCCAGATGACATAAGAGAGGCACCAAGTTTAGATCAAGACACTAAGTATGCCATATATGGAAGTGATAAGGACTTTCAAAGGTCTAATGAGTTATTTATTATTGGACCACTAATTGATATCTCTAATATGAGTATATGTTTGTGTAATGTAACCCAATGCAAATTGAATGCGTCAAAATCATGGGCAATTAGAAAATCAACCAAAACAAATTAGTTGAGAAGTAATAAGTTAGAACTTGGGAGCAGTTTAACCACAAATACTCTGAAACTGAGACATCAAACACGTAACATAAATTTGAATAAGATGATAGGTTTTGATAGTCAATATTCTTATCTAATTACTAGTGGACCTTATCCCTTTAGGATAGTGAAGTATTGTCTTGCTTCTTGCATATTAGAATGATACGAAGTAGACCCTATCTCTAATGAATAGTGATATATTATCTTGTCACTGTCTATTTTAATTTTGTCTTTTCGTGTTGTTCATAATAGACTGTGTTCATTTTATTTAATATGATATGATTTGATTTGAATTTTCCTAATTAAATCTGAAGTGATGTGAATTTTCTAATCTAATCTATTTAGTTTTCAAATTTGGTAAAATGGTTTATTTATATGGTATTTTTAAGAAGAAATATTTAGATGTTAAATTTGTATGAATGTGTTATTTAAGTTTATTTATTTTATTTTATTAATTTTTTTGAAGTTACAATTTATTAAAATATTTAAAGTATTTTCATTAAAAAAGAAACACAATTACAAAAATGATTTGATGCGATGTGATTTGATATGAAGAATTATGAAATAAGCAATACATTTGCTAGGAAAAGTTGAGCCGTACATAACCTCAATTAGATAAAAGAATCTCTTTGACATCAATAGAAACATAAATTTTGTTTTTATTATTGGAAAAGTTGAGCCGTAGATAACCTCAATAAGATAAAAAAAAATCTCTTTGACATCAAGAGAAACATGAATTTTTTTTTTTTTTTTTCAAATACTACTAAACCTTTGACTTTTGTACCATCTATATATAAATTTAATAAATTATTAGTAAATATAGTAAATAATTTCTAAAGGTAATTTTTACTTTTTTTTTTTTTTTTAATTTATATTATTATTATTATTATTTACCTTGTTCTACTCTATCAATTTTTTCTACATCTTTTATTACTGTATTTTATGTCTTTACATTAAATCTTGTTACTTACTTACAATTTAACAACTACCATCTACTTACATTTAATTCCTTGACATGTTACTTAGCATTATTTTTTTGGGGATTAAGACTTCAATTGTTGTTGACTTGTTGTTGTAAGTCATTAATACCCCACTTATTATGTATATCGCGGATGCCATTTTAGCTTATCAGTATTAGTCCTTTCATTGAAATGTTGGATAAGATGGGGTTAAATGGTGAAAATTCATTGAAGGATTGCATAGTTATCTCAGAAGTCAAGTTCATTTGTCTAATACAAGTATAGTTTAAATGTGGAATCCAATGCCATTTGAATCTGCTTGTTAATGTCAAAGTTAAAAAAACCTGAAGTTGATTGATGTTTTTACTTGACAAAAGTAGATGGTAGTTGTTATAAACTTGTCAAGTTTTAAAGCTTGCCATGCACTCTTGCAAGTTGCAACGTTGAAACTTGAAGTGGGATATGTAATGTGATGAGGTCTATATGCTTCCTTTATGCATCGAGTTTATATCTTTTCTCTAACATTAAAATAACTTTGTTGTCACAATCATTAGTAAATTTTGTCATTAGTAAATAAAATCACCAAAAGATAGAAGACCCATTTAGTATAGATTTTGATATGCATATTAGAAGACTAGTTAACTTTGCTCGTGTTAAGTTGCAATTAGTTGGTTGCCATCTTAGTACTAAGGTGCTAAACAAAGCCTTAATTCTAATCGGTATCAGAAAGAGGCATTTTAGTACTAAGTTGGTAACTAAATAATCACAAATTAATACCAAGAGAGTTAGATTGTTATCATTGATGTCTCGTAATACTTAAGGTTGAGATCGAGATTTCCACCACTACTATAGTAATAACTTGTGCACTATCTTAAAAGACAGCCACACACTTCTAATCCACCCGCCCAAAATAAAAATTGAATTGTTTTATTGATCACTAAGATTTAACTAGGAGTCTGTCGCAGCTTTAAGGAGTGTAGCTATGGAAGGGGGAAACCCTCTTTTATGTTGAGGAAGCAGAATCTGATACATGGCACAATAAAACTTTATTTGAAGCTCATTTTCTGTACTCAGTGTTTTATTGCACACTTTATTTGAATGTTGTCGATGAATTTCTAGCATTTTCGTTCTGTTTTATGCTACCTGCCATTCATAGATAGCTCTATGTAAACGTGTTTTTACTTTGATTGATACTAACATAGTGTTGTTTGTGAAGTTTTGTGCAGGTAGACATTGATGGAGCAACGTAAATAGAAGCCCCTGAGTCCCTCAAGAGAATGCAGATTACACCTGTTCAAGTTCTCTGCTTGTGAATTCAATGCTTCTGATTTTGTTTGGATTCTTAATTTTAAAATTTTCCCAATTTGTAGTCAATGTAATTTGATTCACATTGATGTAGTTGAATTTGTTAATTTATGTGAAAGCAAAGTCGTGTGTTTTGATCTACAACGTACATTTTTTTTAATCGCTAGTGGTAATTATGATTCTTGGTTTTGTATACTCGTGGAATTACAGGACTAGTGTTAAAAATAGTTAGCAAAGTTTTTCTTTACTGATTGGCAGGAAGGCAGCAGACTCCCAACTATCCTAACCAGGAAGGCAGCAAACTACTTTTCTTTCCTGATTGGCAGCTTGTCGGCGGCCATTCCAGCTCCTCTTGTCGCCGGCAACAACCCATTCAAGAGCCTATTTGCAGAAGCTTGCACTCCAATTCAGCTCAACTGGTTTGTTAGGTAAGTTTAGTCTTTTCTCTTTAGTTTGTGCTAGTTTTTTTGAGTTAGGGGGTTTGTGTTGGTTTTTCTCATTCATTTTCACGTATATCTCTAATTTTTAGTGGTTCATTATGAGAGCATCTCTAATAAGGTCATCCCAACATTTTTGGAGACCATGTGCAAGTATCCTGTATTAAATTTTGCCTTCTATTTAAATCTTCTCTTTGTGAAAGTAACGGTCTTTTTGTTTAATTGTGAAGTATCTAATGACACTAAACCACTAAGCCACGTAAAGCATAATTATCATATGTTACAGTAGATATTATGGAAAATTTGGCTCATAGCAGTCGTACAGGTTGCATCAGATTGGCCTTTGTATCTAGTTTATGTCTCAATGGTTAGCTACAACGACTAATATTTTTCTTACTTAGCTTTTAAATTATGATTTTATTACTCCCTCCGTTCTAGATTAATAATTGACTAGTTTGATTTTTTCGGTTTTTTGCTTTTTTTTTTTTTAATATATTTGTAAACTTTGATCATTGTTTTTAAGTAAAGGTAGGGATGGCAATGGGTCGGATCGAATCAGATTATGCAAAATCCGACTCCGACACTACAACATGTCGGATTTTTAATTTGTCTCCGCCTCCGCCTCGGACATCTGACTCCGAGAGCCGACTCCGATCTGACTTAGATTTCCAACCTCCGGCTCCAACCCGATCCGACTCCGAATCCGACTTTAAATTTAATTTTGACCCACTTATCAATAGCAACGCATATATAATCAATTTCAAAGAAGTATAAATTCAAAATCCAATAATAAAAAATATATACGTACATAGAAAAGTCGGAGTTGGATCGGATAAGTCAGATTCTAAGTAGACTCCGACTTCGACCCTCCTCCGAGTCAGGGTCGGTTTTTTTAAACAAAGTCGGATTCGAATTATTATTTCTCGGATTCGGATCGGAATTTTTCTTCGGATAAAATCGAACTAGGGGCGAATTCTGACTGAATTGCCATCCATAAGTAAAGGTGATTATCAATGGCTTGACCCGCTAGCCTAATCAACATGGCTCGAAAAGTGTTTAGGTTTGAGCAAGCCCAAAAACACATTTAATTTAAAATCTCAAACCTAGCCTGAAAAAAGCCTACATAGCTCGCTTAATCAGTACAAGTCTAACACTTTTTTGCGTGTTTAGATATGATATTTCATTGCCCAACCGTATTTTGATCACCTCTAGTGCTAGTAACGTACTCCATTTTTTAAAACTAGATAAGCCCCGTGCGATGCACGGCATAAATTTTTTTTTTGAAATAAATATATTTTATTTATGTCTCTCATATGAGATAAATTATAGAAACATAATTATTAATTGCAATGATGTTTAGATCTAATTAGTTTTGATGAAAATTAAAATTTTAAGCAAATTATGCAATACGGAGTACTCTTTAACGGAAGTAATTATATTTTGAAGCCAAATGGTCACTTATAAATTCATAATACTACCTCCGTTAACAGTTATTTGCAACAAAGGGGGGTAGCACGGACTCCTAGGCAAAACTTTTAAAGCATGATTAAAAGAAATAAGGGCACTTGATTAAGTATTAATCCTACCTAAAAAAAACAATTAAACAAAAACCCATAACCACCCACACCCAGAACCACTAAACCCAGATTCACCACCGACAACCACCAGAAGCACTAAATCCATCGACACTCGAAACCCGTAACTCAACCACAAACTCAACCACCACTGAACCTGAAACTCAACACAGAAGCACTAAATTCACCGACACTCGAAACCCGAAACTCAACCACAAACTCAACCACCACTAAACCCGAAACTTAACCACAAACTCAACTACCTACGAACCCAGCTAGAACCCAGCAAACCACCACGAACCCAGACATAACCACCGAGAAACCCAACCACGAACCAACCACCACCGAAACCCAGGCAAACCCACCCACAAATCCCCCCAAACCTGCAAATCCATCCAAACCCGACGAACCACCACCCACAACTCATTGAAAGTCACCCACAAACCACCGAAATCCACACAATATCCACGTAAACCACCCTAGACCTACCAGATTTGAAACCCAAAACCACAAACCACCCAATTAAAAATGATTCTTTCACCACAATCACCAACACCCACCCACGAACCACAAAAACCACCCACAAACAACAACTACCACCAGATCTACCAAACCCACCCAGAAACCACCAACATCCACCCATGAATTAAGATGAGAGATAAGAGATGATGATGAAGAAGTTGATGAGAGATGAAGAAGGCTAGGAAGAAGATGAGAGATGATGATGAACTGAGAGATGAAGATTGAAGAAGATAAGGGAGTGATGATGATGAACCGAGAGATGGAGATGGAGGAGAGAGGCGGTGTGGAAATGAAATTAGGGATGAATCTAATTTTTTTTTGGGGGGAAAAGCTTAGATGATTAGGTTAGATTAGAGTTATTGTAATTATGTATAGTGTTATGTGTTAATAATTTTTAAATAAGGGTATTTTGGTCATTTTATCAAAAAAGTTACTATATTAGGAAAGATTTAGTTTTGTTGCAAATAATATGAAGTGCCCCTTTTTTTAGTAAATGTTGCAAAAAACTGTTAACGGATGTAGTATAAAATATGGAGCATAATATAATATAATAATTGTCTTCTAAAAATAATATTATAATAACTTAAGGTAAAAAAAAAAAAGAATATGATGTCAGCAATTGATTTAGGAGGAAATTTTTTTAATAACAGCTTAACATGTGTATAATTTTAAAAAGTGATGATGTCAGCGGTTGTTGTGTTAATATATTTATAGATTGTCTCACTTCACAAAAACAACAATTTTAGAATTCCATTCAAATTATATATTATTTCTCTTCCTTTTGACTTCACTATTATTATATAATACACATCTCATTCATATTTCTTATATTTCTCATTTATATTTCTTACTTTTTCAAAAATTTTAGTCTAACTATATGTGCTTATATTATTTTATTCTTGTATCTAAAACTCTGTGTGCAATTCAATGGAGCACTTGAAAAAAACGGAGGGAGTATTATAAACAAATCTTATTACGAAATACTTCGTATATTGTTACATAGGATTTAATCCCTCCGTCTCATAATAATTGACATAGGCAACTTCCGTACACATACCAATGCACTAATTTTCTCTAATTAATATACAACTACATATCCCCTCTCAAAAAAAAAAAATAAATAAATAAAATAAAATTGCGTAGTAAAAAATATGTATAAATAAATAAATAAGTTGATATTATGGAATACGATAAATAAAAATGCCGATTGGGTCCGTCCGCTTGGATGGTCTTTGTTTCTGGGCTCTTTTGCTCTTGGGCTTCCTACAATTGCTCTCTTTGGGCTTATCATTTTAAGCTAGGTTTACACTTGATTTTTGTAACTCATTACTTGACCCACTTCACTTGGGATTCCAGGCTAAGTACATATTTTTTTTTAATTAATTTTTTTTTAATAATAAATCTAGCGTTCAATCACCCAACTCAATTCCTCTAGTTCTGTTTTGGGCTTGAAATATTTGGTTATAAAATACCCTCTATAATCTAACACCTTTTTAGTGGCTCTAAAAGCTCGAAAATTGTTGTAAATTTGTATTTCTACCAAATAATATTAACTCTATAAAAACACTAGCAAATACATATTAGTAATAAAATTAGCTCTGTAGAGCTCAAATAAACACATAATGACTGTGGAACGGAAATTAAATCATATATATAATATTCTCATCATGTACGATTCAGGTTGCAATAATATCAAAGTCACACATTTTTAAAAAAAGATCAATATATTAAAATTAGGATCACTATGTTAAATTTAGGGTCATTATGTTCAACATAACGTCAGCATATGAAACTCAAGTCGACAATAATTTTATCGTGAACCAGGTCTACACAAGTTTTTTCCTAGTATAGGCTCTAAAATCTCAAATGAAGCTTTTTTAAATGAGGTTTAATCGAGATGCATTCTTTGTAATGCTAAACTCATAAGGTAACATATAGAGATAGTAACTAACCACTCAATCATTTCAAATTCCCTCAAGAGTAACCTTGAAAATGTAAGATAGGGATAATATTTAAAGCTACATTACCCCATAGCCAAATAAAATTCCAAGAAATATGTTAAGCATGCGTTGGAATTGTTAATATGTCCAATTGTTAATATCAACTACTATGAAAGCTTGGAACATAAAAGATCTTGGGGTATTGACTGGAAAGACTTGCAGGATTCTGTGGGAATACAGGCTCAATCTTTAGTTTCTGCTTCTGGGGATTCTCAATTCCTTCAAACTCGTGATCAGAAAATTTCCCAAGCTCATACTTTATTTCTATATTGGAAACAGAGATCTAAAGTACGATGGGATGCTTTTGGAGACACTAGTTCGCGTCTGCTTTTCTCTTCGGTTCAGGAGCGTAGGCGTAGGAACAAAATTTTTAGCCTAAAGAATACTCAAGGACTTTGGATTTCTGACACTTTGGAGATTGAGAATCTTTTAACTGCTCATTTTTCGGACTTATATAATTGTCAGAAAATTCCTGCGCCTTCTATTCCTAAGTTTTGGGATGATCTAGACATTCCCTCATTATCTTCCCTTCATCAACAACAACTAATGATTCCATTTACTGCAGCTGAGATTAAGGATGCAATTTTCCATATTGGTAATGATAAGTCTCCGGGACCGGATGGTTTCTCTGCTGGTTTCTTTAAATCGCACTGATCGGTGGTTGGTAATCAGGTTACTTCTGCTATCCAGTACTTTTTTGCCCGAGGTTATATGCTAAAAGACTGGAACCATACTTTTTTGGTCCTTTTACCGAAGATTGACCATCCTGAATTTCCTTCTCAGTTTCGGTCGATAGGTTTGTGTAATGTTTTGTATAAATGTATTGCTAAATGCATGACGGCTCGCCTTCGGAAAATTATGCCTCTCTTGATTTCGGAGGCACAATCGGCTTTTTTGCCGGGTCGTTTGATGTCAAATAATAGTCTTATTGTGCATGAACTCCTTACGTATATGAATTCCTCTACTTCGAGATTATGTTCTGCGGCTTTGAAATTAGATATGAACAAAGCTTACGATAGGGTTAATTGGGAGTTTCTTTGGGATGTGCTTAAGGCTTTTGGGTTTCCGCCTTATTGGATTCAGCTAATTAAACAATATGTTTCTACGGTCTCGTACCAGATCCTTATAAATGGCAAGCCCTCTTCTGTCCTTCGGTCGGCTTGTGGTTTACGTCAAGGGGATCCCTTATCTCCTTATTTATTTGTTCTATGTATGGAAGTGTTTTCAATTATGCTGCGAAAGGCTGAGACTGCTGGTTTGTTTCAAGGTTTACGTATTTCTAGACGTGCTCCTTCAGTCTCCCATTTGTTCTTTGCAGATGATGCGTTACTTTTATTCCGGGTGACACCTGATGCTTGTTTGCAGCTCTTGGGAGTGATTGACCGTTTTTGTACTGTTTTTGGTCAGATGGTTAATGCTCAAAGATCTTTCGTTAAGTTTAGCTCGAATACTCCAGAAGATTACCGTGACTTCTTAAGTTCTGCTTTGAAAATGCAAGCTAAGTCTTCGCTTGGAACTTACTTGGGTCTCCCGGTGGATTTGGGTCGAGCCAAGTGTCACCAGTTTCAGCCATTGGTCGATAAAGTGATGTAAAAGTTGTCTGCGTTTAGCTCTCGTCATTTGTCGGCAGCAGCTAAATTAGTTCTTATTAATACGGTGGTCATAGCTTCTTTAAATCATGTGTTATCAGTTTTTAGGCTTCCTGGAACTATTGCTGATCGTATTAATCATCTCTTAGCTAGATTTTGGTGGAAGTCTAATAAGTCTTCTAGAGGTCTGGCCTTGACTTCTTCTGCTTCCAACCATCTCCCTCGAGGTTTAGGGGGTTTGGGAATTCGTCATGTACCCTCTTTTAATTCTGCTTTGCTTGCTAAGAAAATGTGGCGTTTAATTCATCATCCACAGCTTTTAGTTTCGAGGATTTACCGTGCTCGGTATCCTCATGTCATAGGCTACAAAGCTACTACTTCTCCTTCCCGTCCTTCCTGGGGTTGTCGAAGTTTTTTAGAAGGAGCTCGCACTCTTTCTCAGGGAATAATGTGGAAAGTGGGCTCTGGCAAAAGGGTCCGGATTCTGGAGGACAATTGGGTTCCGGGTGTTTCTGTTCGTTTTAAGGATTCAGCTCCCCTAGTGGGTCTTCCTTCTTTGGTTACGCAACTTATTGATCCCATTTCCCATGCTTGGGATAGTACGTGTATTCGTTAGCTTTTTCCTTCTTCTGTGGCGGATTCTATTCTTGGTTTAGAAAGGCCTCAGGAAGAAATGGATGATTTTGTGTATTGGAAATTCACTCGGGATGGGACGTTTTCTACTAAATCTGCGTATGCTCACTTGATAAATCATACCTGTGCAGCTAGTACTTTGTTGGCCCTGTCATTCCGGGTTGGTGGAAGAAATTTTGGGGTCTTCCGATTTTACCAAAGTGGAAGATCTTCATTTGGAAAATTCTCCATAACGGTCTTCCCACGGCGGCAGTTTTGGCCTTAAAGGGTATTCCCGTTGATACTATCTGCGTGTTTTGTCATCACCATTCTGAAACAGTTTCTCATATTTTTCAACAATGTGATTTTACTTGCTTGGTGCAAGCTACTCATCATCTGGAGGCAATTCGTTCGTTACCTATGGATCGAGACTTCTGTACTTGGTCAACCGCTACTATTTCTGAGTTGGCAAAGGCCAAGAACTGGAATGGTTTGGATGACCTTATATCTTTTTGGTGGGCTGTCTGGTTAACTCGTAATAATCTTCGATTCCGGTCGGAGGTTTTTTCTCCTGCTGGGGTTTTTGCAATTGCGGCTAATTGGTCTTCTAGGAGTAAGGAGGCTCGAGAATTATCTGATCTTTGTCAGGCCTCGTGTCCTCAAGGTTTTGGTGGTCTTGGTTGTTCTTCTCATCATGCTCTGGGTTTGCTTCAGCCGTCTTCCCAGTATGATATTAGTCTTGCCTTTGATGGTGCTTGGACAGATGTGGATCAACGTGCTGGTATGGGTTGGTTCTTATCTTCCAACTTATCTTCTCCGTCTGTTAGGGGAGGGGCTCAGGCAGGGTTTGCTTCTTCGGCCCTCCATGCTGAACTTCTTGCTTGCCTTTTGGGTTTACATCATGTTAAAGATAAAGGTTTCACAAGTGTCGGGGTTTTTACAGTTTGCAGTTCTGTCCCGACTCTGATTGACCGTTATACAACAGATTCAATTTCTGTTCTTTAGATTCTACGTGAGTTTCGGCAGATTGTTCGAAGCTTTTCCAGCTGTTATATTCAAAAGGTTTCAAGAAGGGAGATTGGTTATGCTCATTTTCTGGCCGGCCTAGCTCGCTGTCGTCATTTAATTTGTTCTCTTTTTTAGTTTATTTGTTCTCTTTGTCAAAAAAAACTACTATGAAAGAACACTATAAGCTTCAAATAATTGTTTATCTTACATTTTTTTTATTTTTTTTTTATTTTTTTTTTACAATAGCAAATTACAACAAAATTACACAAAGTCCGAACCACTAGTACGACATTTTTTAGCAATGTCGTATGCCCTCTGCACTTGGTCCCTTTGGACTTACATTAATTACAGGCAACTCCTAAAGGGAATTTAGTTCTCATGGATTATTTTGTCCTATTGATTAAAACTAAGCACATGTTAAATCTCTTTAATATAACAACCAAACAATAATAATGTATTCAACGATTAATACGTTAGTGGGGGCATTTGGCAACAAGGATAGGGATGATGAGGATAAGAAGGTAGGATAAAGATAGGGAATTATTAGGTGGGATAAGGATAAAATTATGATATCCATTGTTTAGAATGAGTTGGGAATGAGTAGGGAATTAAATTGGGATAACTAGCAAATTTACTTAAATATCCTTACTAATTTTTTTCCTCTCTCCTCTTCCTTCCCTTTCATTAAGGGCAAATTTGTCGTTTACCTTTTAAATTTTATCCCCAAACCTTATACTTTCCCCCATTGTTATAGACATAGAGGGATAAGCCCCAATTTAGTCCCCATCCCTTTTATATGGGATAATTTGTATTCCTTCAAACAAACAAGGGATAATGGGACATGAGAGATTATAAATTCTTATCCCACCAATAATCCCCACAAACAAACATGCCATAGGAGAGTATCAAGTTGTAATTTCGGAATCCGAACTTGATTTTGAACTCCTCTATAACCATTTTTAAAGCTACATTAGCCAAATAAATTGCCAAGAAATTATGAATTGTTGATACGTACAGTATATGTTGGAAATGGTAATGCAATCGGAAGATTCTCGTGCTCGATCGGGCGGTGGTTCGCCCGACCGGGCAGAATTGGCTAAGGAGAAAGGGGGCTCTCGCGACCGGGCGCGAAACCAGGTCTAAGAATATTTTATCTCGCGCCCGATCAGGCGACTGGTTGCCTGATCGGGCCCGCCTCTTCCTTAGGTCGGTTTGGTTTATTTGTTTCCTGATTTCGGGACACATATAAATACGAGCATTGCCTTTCCTATTTTCTATAATTCACATTAAAAAAACATCAAACACAAACCTACCCTTTGAGATCTGAACAGTTCTTGAGCAATTCCACTCTCCGGGTTCGGGTACACGAATTACGAAGGAGAGTTGCGTTAAACTTGAGAGGCGTGTGTCATCAGGAAACCTATACCAGTGGTGGCGTATTTCTCTTATAAGGCAGTGGATTTTGTTCCACGGCGCGACTGTGAGTTTGAGATCTTCAATCAAGTATTTCCCTTTCATCTTCTCTATTTTGTTTTTGTAATCGACAACTATTTTACCAACAATTAAAAGCGAAATAGTATTAATTTATTATGCTGTTGATTCCTGAACTAATCAATTGGAAATGGAAATTATAATGATTCGAACAATTAATTTTGGATCAAGAAAAAAAGGATATTTGTTGCGAATGATTTCGATGTAATTGTTCATTCGTTGAAGCATTCGTCTCATTGATTATCAATCGTTGGTTTTTATCTAGCTCTTCTTGTGATATAAGGAGAAATTATTAAGCACGCACTTGGTGTAGAAAGTCTCATAACTACATTCAAACTTCGTTTAAGCTTTAAGTTAGGGCTTGTTTGGCATCGTTTTTTATTTTCAATTTTTTGATTTTTTTTCAAGACAAAAAACCAAAAATATAAAACAAGAAAAACGTGTTTTCACTTTTCAGTTGTTATTTTTTGAAATTATCATAATATTAATAAGTTTGATGACTACTTTTTAATTTATTTTATGACATATATAATATAATTTTGAAAAACAAAAAACCAAAAAATAGAAAATACAACGATGCCAAACGAACTCTAAGGTTTTTTTTTTTAATACAAAGTAGATGTTAAGTTAAACAATATAAGCTACTCATTAAATAAGAATAAAAAAAATAACAATTATCATAAAGTTTTATATGCGACTGGCTGTACCGTATGACCAGTCACATTTTTAATATTTTTTTTTATATTTTCTCTCTCATCTCTTTCTCTCCTCTCTCTCCTCTACCTTCCTCCATTTTCTCTTCCTAACTTTCTCTCTCTAATCATCAATGGCCGAGCTAGGTCTTCCGCCGCCGTCAGGTTCGTTGTCTCCGTCCAAATCTCCTCGAAGCTCCAAGCCATATCGTCGTCACCGTCTTCGTTTCGTCATCGTCGAAGCTCCTCGAACTCCAAACCAACCCAAACATTCGTCGTCATCTTCATATTTGCCGGCGAAATCAGCCAAAGACCTCCACCTCCGTCGTCGTCCTGTTAATTGATTGCTGTTGGAGTTGAGCAATTGCAAAATCTCAGTTAATTGCTCTTATCTACTGTAAATTGATTCATTCTACTGCATTTTGTTAATTGGTTCATTCTACTGTATTTTGTTGATTGATTTTCATTCAAACCAACGATTGCTTCCTTTATCATCTGCAATATTTCTTATATAGATTTGTTTTATGCAAAATTGATTTAAACTGATACTTGAAAGTTTCGTTATTTTGGTTTGATTTGGATGAATTTGTGGTCCCTGTTTTGTTGTTGTGGATGTTTATTTCAGGGGTTACTAGGTCGGGGTTACTTAAGCAGTTACTAAGGGTTACTAGGTCGGTTAGGGGTTATTAGATCGGTTAGGGGTTACTTGGGTTTTTAAGGGTTACTAGGTTAGGGGTTATTAAGTCGGTTAGGGGTTATTTGGGGTTACTAGGTCGGTTAGGGGTAAATAGGTTAGGGGTTACTAGGGGTTACTAAGTTAGGGGTTACTAGGTCGGGGGTTACTAGGGGTTATCAGGTCAGTTGGGGGTTACTAAGTCAGTCAGGGGTTTCTTTGTCTGGGGAGTTACTAGGGGTTACTTGAGGGGTTACTAGAAGGGTTACTGATATAGCACCTTGCCGTAGCGTGTGGCCAGCCGCACTTGAAACGCACTGAACAATTATAAGCTACTCATTATGTAAGAATAAAAAAGGAACTCTATGTGATATACTTACTTCCATTTTTTTAGTTGACACATATTCTTTATTAGGAAGTTTTTTATTATTATTTTTTTTATTTGACACATTTTCTTTTTGAATATATTTTATACCTTACATTTACTAGCTACCCCACTTGCTTTATTTTTCTCTTTCACGCTCTTTCGTCTTCTTAATATGTGTGCCTAAATTGAACACGTCAATTAAATGGAAATAGGGAAGTAATTGTTAATTTGTTAGGAAACACATGTCACAAAATTTAACGAAACATATAAATAGAAATTGTCTCTTTCCTTATTAATCAATTTACCTGCAAAACAGTATCCCTGTCCACGGACTTGAAATCATCCCTGATGTAAAGAAGTAAAGAAGGGCCCCTGATATAACTCCTATGAATTGAAGCTAAGTCATTATTTCAATTATAATTAAAAAATAATAGTAAGGGAAATAATAATCGTGACATCATAGAATAAAGTAGGCAGCCTCTAAGATAGTTACATTTCCTTTAAATTCTCTAGTTTTGTAATTCAACTAATTAAAAATGCTTTTCTCTTTTGATACCTAACTTTAATGTTGTTTTGAATCATTCTCTCTTTGTCTTATAAAGGGTTAAGATGCTAAATGTAATTTTAAATTATTGAAGAAATCTACACTAAATGAATATTTTTAGAGCAATAGTTTGAAATATGACAATCTTATTATTTGAATGATAAATAATAATACAATATGATCGTTTTAAATTTTCACATTATAATATGAACACAATTATTCTTCTAATATCTACACTAAAATGTAATTTTTGAAAATTTTTAATCTAACATAAAATATATTCTTTTCAAGAAACTACAAAATAATAGTAAAAACTACATAGATGAAACTAAATATTTGATAAATAAAAAGAAGTTGATAATATTATTTTATATTAAAAATATGTCAATTTTGAACTACATAATCATTAAAATGGTGTGGTGGGTATTCATTTTTCAAACACATTTCTTACTAACATAGAGTTTCTCTAGTTCTTAATAATTAATACATGCTGTATAACAGTAAGTTGATTTTTAATACAGTCATTAAAAGTAGTCAACTTGTTACAAGCATCAAGCATATATATTGTGAAACAATTATAATGTAAGTGTCATTAATATTTTACAGGGCCATTTTAACTATCCTTGGATGCTTCACCTCCTAATGTCATATATCAAGACAATTTTGAAATCTTTCCAGGCTTTCAAGTCTCAACATATTTTTAGAGAAGAAAATCAGGCTGCAGACTATGTTGCTTCTCTTGGTTACTCTACTCCGACTCATCAAGATATCGACCCTTTTATGGATAGCAAGTTTTCTTATTTTTTACTCCATGATAAAATTAGGTCACGGGCTTGTAAGAAGACGGTCCTAATTCTCCCCATGTACTTTACGTTTTTTTTTTTTTTTTTTTTTTTTAAAAAAAAAATGTATCGTGAAACAATTGAAGTATATCATATGTTACCCTCGATTTTTATTGTTAAAACACCCACTCAAACAAAAGTTCAAAGTGATGGTTTAACCTTGAGATTGGTTTATATAGTCAATTATACCCCCTTATACATGAGAGTTCATTGGGCTAAAAATGTAGATATAGCATGGGCCTCACCATACCCTACGCTTATTAATATATTCCATCTTGAAAGAAGGAGCGGGATGGATGAGATACGAACTCATGACCTTTAGTCAATTAGTCACATTAACTTTGTCTCTAATACCATGTTAAACGATAAACTCAACCGGACTATATACATCTTTTCTTAAATAGGAAACATGTATTGCATGTGAAATCCTAAAAACACTTACCCAAATCATGAAGCTTGAGACTAATATTACATTTTAAAGTCTTTCCATGTTAATTAACTATATTCAAATGATGTACTTTTTCTCTAAACATAAATAAAGTTAAGCTGGGTCAATTATTGTTATAGTAATTGTGGTACAAGTTACTTTTCACTATGTAATGCATATAAGATAATTTTAATTTTGATTTGAAAATTTTACTAATTATAATTTTGTGGTTCAGAAAATAATTCTTTTTTTTTTTTACTTATAAAATGATTGAAAATTCTACGGTAGTCTTTCTAAAAATGAAAAACAATATATTTAATTTTCAAAAATTAATTTTTAGAAGAATTTCGAAAATTCAGAAAAATAATTTCCAAAAAAATATTTTAATGATGTTTGTTAAAATTTTCACATTATAATATATTTTTTTGAACAATTACACATTATATTATTGTATAGTCTTTAAATACTTACGATGTAAATATAAATTTTGAAATTTATAATCCAACATAAAATAAATTATATTCGAGAAACTATATATAAAAGAATAAAAAAAATTATATAAATAAAACTAAAAATTTAATAAAAAAAATTGTTGATAGTGCTATTTTATACCAAATATCATGTAATGTAGTATAATTTATTACTTGTAGAAAAATATGTCAATTATGAACTATATAATCAAAAAAACTTTATGATAGTCATATTTCAAATGACCACTATAAAATTTTTAATAAACGGATATAAGAACCTAGTTTCTTTAATTTGTACATGCATAAGGGGTACAAAAGTTCAGGCATTTTGGCATGGAATGAGCCTTCGTGGAGCAAAGACAAACGAGCTGAATTTAATTTACTATTGACTGTTTTTTGCACACTGCAAGACACAAGTCACACAACCAATATAACGCCCCATGTAATACCGTGTGTCCGCGTTTTGCCTTATTTGGCTTATTCATATGAAATACACTTTACTATTGTTTCTAGCACCATCCTTAGCTTTGAGACACACCTTCACAAGAAGTTTGATTAGAATAGTAGATATAATTTCTAAACTCAAATTAATAATCATAATAAAAAATTTGTTAACCAATACAGCATAGAGTACAGCATAATTTGCTAATATATATACCTGTATCATAGCCAAAGAGGAGGCCGCCGATACCAGCTGAGAAAGCTAAACGAAGAACATAAGGATTTTCCCACGCTAAGGCAATACACTGCCTGAAAGCCGATGCATCTGGTTTTGGTATACCCCCTTCCATTTTTCTCTTCGTTTAGAAATTATTTCTACTAATGAAAAGGGTAATCCCAAGTTTCTCATATTGATTAACATAAATTGTTTCTCATGAGGGTATTTCTGTAATTCTAATATGACAGTTGTTGGACTTGACATAGACGGAGTTAACAAGGTAAACCCATGTTACTTTACTTTTGAACAATGCTCAAAATTGATGCTCAGAAGAAAAAATACATTCCCAAATTCCGATTCAACACAGTACATTATTTCCAGTTTTCCACCATTGAAGCAATTTAAGGTAAGATTAAAAACTCAATTTCACAATCTAGTGTTAATCGGTAATCATCAAATTTCAATTTCACAATCTATTATTATGTAGTAGCTTCAATGGAGAAGGAAAGCTCATAAGCGTCAAACACCTATACATTAGGGGTTAACCATACCCTTAATTTCAATATATTTTTAGGGTTTTTCGTTAAATTCTGGCGGCGAAACCGCCATTCAATGGGGGCATTCGAGTTTGAATGGAGGAATTGGAGCTTTTGCGGCGAAGCTTCAATGGAGGTTGTTGTTGGTGGAGATGATTTAGATGAAAGAGGAAGAAGATGGTGTTGGACAGTCGGTGGTTGTTGTTGGTGGAGACAAAAGTGGAAGGTGAATGTGTTGGTGTTTATTGTGATAGAGGTGAAAGACTAAGCTCCGATGGTACTACAATGTAACGCCGCTAACGATAAACGCAAACTTAATATGACGCCGTCAAGTTTAGTCCAAGTCATCAACTATAGTGGAATTTACAGTCATCACTTCTTCTGATTATAATACCATTAGTTTACAATTCCCGATGCATTTTAATTACACAAATGCCATTTGAGAAACTCTTCTTGTTTCTCAAGAAGAGGAACTGGGGCACTCCCGAATGAAAATGATATATTTTGGTCACAAGCTAGGTATAAGAGCAATGCCAATGGTGAGCATTTTATTTGCTCATGGGCAAATTTGATGGGAAAATAAAATGCTCACCATTGTAGAAGGTGAGAAAATTTGATCAAGCCAAAAAAAGCCCATGGGCAAAATGAAATTTGCCCAAAGAGTGAGCATTTTCGTGTAGCTACAGTGAAGGAAGTGGGCCCCACAGCAGGTCAGACGCAATTAAAAAAATTTGGCTGGGCCCTTATCAAAACGACGCGTTTTGATGGAGTGGTCTGAAGGGCCGCCGCTTCCAAAACGCGTCGTTTTGACGCTTAGAAAATAAATAAAAAAAAATTCGCTGGCAGAGGCGCGTCAGAATTGCTGGCAAATCAGAGCTCGCCACGTGTCTTGCGCAGGGGATTGACCAATGAGAAAATACTAGCCGTTTACAACGGTAATATTATTTGTAACTGATTTTCCGAAAAATATATTTGTTAAAAAAAAAAAAAATTACCAACGGTCATAAAATTAAATTCTCTATAAATAGACATGCATTTTGATATGTTTTGATATAATTTCGTAATCACCTAAAATCCTCCACTTTTTTATTTTCTTAAGCATTTTAAATTTGTAGAAGAATATATTTGTTGCAAAACATCCATATTGAGGTAAATTTTTTTTTTTTAAATATTTAAATTCAGTTATGTAATTAAATAAGTATATATGTGATTTTTTGAAGAAAAAAAAATATTGTAAGCCATGTAATTATATTGCATTATGTAATTAAACAAAGTTGTTGATATTTTCTCCATAAATTACTAAATTTGTAGTTAAAGTGTTGCAAATATTGGTTATTTTTTTTTTAAAAATATATACATGTAGTTATGTATTAAAATTAGTATATATGTGATTTTTGGAAAAAAAAAAATATTGTATAGCATGTTATGTAATTGCTTTATGTAATTGAAGAAAGTTGTTGATAATTTCTCCTTACATTACTAAATTTGTAGTAAATATAGTGTTGCAATTATTGGTTAATTTTATTTTAAATATATACATGTAGTTATGTATTAAAATTAGTATATGTGTGTTTTTTTTTAAAAAAAATATTGTAGGCCATGTACTGTAATTGCATTATGTAATTGAAGAAAGTTGTTGATGTTTTCTCCATACATTACTAAATTTGTAGTTAATAAAGTCTTGAAATTATTGGTTAATTTGTTTTTTTAATATTAAAATTTAGTTATGACTTTAAATTAGTATATATGTGAATTGGTTAATAAAGTTGTTGATATTTTTTTGGATTTGTTGTCATTTTAATTTGTTTTTTGAGTAAATCTTAGTAAAAATATTTATCTTTTGTTTTGTGATGCAGAATCTTTTAATGGATCCAAACAACCCAAATTTCCGTCAACAATTTTCTGGTTTTAGTGATGATTTACTAACTAATCCCGAGTTTCAATTGTTCTTGCAAAGAATGGGCAATACGTCTTTGCAACCACCTCCACAGTATCAGACACCTACTCAGTTTCCCCTACGAAACCATGTTAATGAAGAATGTACACCTGAAATTGAACATAATAGCAACACACAATTCGATGACAGCGAAGAAGACAGCGTACCAGAGACGCCGCAATATCCTCCACCAGTTCCGGAACTGAAATCCAACCAGGTTGTTGCACGAGCGACTCGAATTTGGTCAGTTGCGGAAGATGAAACTCTGATTGGGTTGTACTTGGAGATCAGCGAGAATGCTATTAAAGGCACGAGCCAGAAAGCAACTTCCCTTTGGCGCGATGTACACGCAGCATATCAACTTGCTCATGCGGAGAAGCCGCATTTACTTCCACCAAGACCTATGAAGAGTCTGACGTCGCACTGGAGAAGGTTGGCAGCAGACACACTACAGTGGATATCTTGCTATGATGAAGCAGGTAGACTTCCGGAGGGAGGGAGTGGTTACAACGAAGCTGACCGTATAAAAAGTGCGTTGAAGCTTTTCCATCTCGCCCAAGGTCGTAATTTCGCTTTTCCTCACGCTGTTGAAATGCTTAATAGAGATCCAAAGTGGAGGCCAAAGCTGAGATGGTCCTTGTCAAAGGAGGAAAGAAAAGCTGTTCGTGATGTTGAGGAGCAAGGTAGTGCTGGAAGTGGAAGAGGTCCAGAGATGATGGAGGGGATGAAACCCCTACGGATGGTTTTTCATCTGGAGGAATACAACGACCCGAAGGTGTGAAGAAAGCAAAGGCCAAGCGTAAAGGGAAAGAAGTAGCTTCGGACAGTGGTTCGTCTGAGCTTAGCGAACGAATGAAGGAATTGGCAACAATTCGCGAGAGGGAGGCCATTCTGAAGGAAGAGCGGATCAAAATTGAAAGGGAGAAGGAACAGAGGAAAAGGGAGGAACTTGACATTCATAAGATGAAAACCTGGTTTGATATGGTGCAAGCTATGAAGAATTCGCCTACGCCACTCACTCCTGAAGAAGAGTCGTACAAGAATTTCTTACTGGGTAAATTACAGGGCTTATAAGCATGTTTGGTTGTAGTAGGTGTACGCTTGTATTAGTTAAGTTTTTAATTATGCGCAATGTAGTCTTTTAAGTTTTTAATTATGCGCAATGTAGTCTTTTATGTTTAACATGTAGTCACATTTTTGTCATTGTGTAGTCACATGTTTCTGAATTAACTTTGTCAGTATGCTTTAACTTTAGGTCATTCATACCGACATGGTGTAGTCACTTTTGTTCTGAATTCACTTTGTCAAGATTTGTCATTGTCAACTAGCATAGTATACCTATTCCGTGGCTGAAAATTTGAATGCTTTAGTTGGTGTGGTCATTCAGATTTGTAACCACATATTCATTTGATTTATTTGCTATATATAGTAGGCATGGCACATATCCACAACCACACCAATTCAGAAAATTACAATATTAATACATGATGTATTCCAGACCATCATCAAGTTCAAGTTCAAGTTCATCTTCTTCCAATAATGAAGAATATGATCAACTCGTTGATGAACTCTTCACATACCAACCCACATCTTTCCTCATGCCCCAAACACAATCCCAACGTACTTCAAAATCACGTAGAGGGGGTACGAACAGAAGAGATTGGGAAATGGGACATGCCAGGCTGTTCAATGATTATTTTTCCGATAATCCTGTGTACAATACCACCCAATTTAGAAGAAGATTTCGTATGCAACGACCTTTGTTTTTACGTATAATGAACAAGGTCGTTGAAGGTGATGTTTACTTCCAGCAGCGTAGGGATGCAACTGGAAAGTTAGGCATATCACCTATGCAAAAATGTACAGCCGCGATACGAATGTTAGCCTATGGCATGGCTGCAGACGCTGTTGATGAATACGTTCGAATCAGTCAGTCAACCGCTCGAGTTGCCCTACAACGTTTTTGTGCCGGGGTCATTGACCAGTTCGGAACCGAGTACATGCGAAACCCTACAACTGATGAATTGGCCCAGATACTGCATCAAAATGAACTGCGTGGTTTTCCAGGCATGATAGGCAGCATTGATTGCATGCATTGGGAATGGAAGAACTGTCCAACGGCTTGGAAAGCGCAGTACGCTGGTAGGAACAAGAAAGCAACGCTAATACTGGAAGCCGTTGCGGATCAGGATTTATGGATATGGCATTCCTTCTTTGGTATTCCCGGATCTTGTAATGATCTTAATGTGTTGTACCGTTCACCAGTGTTCGATGAGGTTCTGCATGGTTGAGCTCCTCCGGTAAATTTTACGGTTAACGGCCATGAATACAACATGGCTTATTATTTAGCCGACGGCATTTATCCGAAGTGGGCAACTTTTGTTCAGGGTATCACATTCCCTCAACTGGCCAAAGATAAAATGTTCGCTGACCACCAGGCTGCCGCTCGAAAGGACGTTGAAAGAGCTTTCGGTGTGTTGCAAGCTCGATTTGCAATAATACGAAAACCGTCGCTGGCGTACGATGAGGACATACTGCGGGACATAATGAAAGCATGTATCATTATGCACAACATGATTGTTGAAGATGAGCGCCACAACTACACTCGAGCCGAAGTTCTAAGAGCCTTCTACGAAGAAGATCAACAAGAATCAACACCAGCATCAACATCTACAACGCCACCGTTTGAATTCAACGTAGGCCGACCTACCAACTTTGATTTCAACGCATTTCTACAGCGAAAAGCTTCCCTCCGTGACAGAGAAATTCATCTATCTCTGAAACGTGATTTAGTCGAACATATTTGGCAACACTACGGGCCACGTAATTAGGGAGAAATTAGCACGACTTAAATAAAGCCAAGTACTATGGCGTAGCTACTTTTACTTGTTGTGTTTATTTTATTTCCTAAGTTTAATTACGCATGACGTTGCAAATGTAATTGGTTTCTAGTATTGTACCGCTTTTAAAATAAATAAAAACATTTAAGAAATTTTGAGCTTTTTTTAAAAAATTTTTTATATAACGTACTTAATTTTACGACAAATTTTAACGATAAAAAGGACAAAAATAAAAAAAATAAGTTACACAAATTTTAACTAGTTTTTATTTATTTGGAGTAACATTGTTAAAATATAAATGAAATAAATAAATAAAGAAGTGTTGTGTAGGAGAGAGAAAGTAATGGTGGGGTATTGAAAAAGTAAGAGAGAGAGAGTGGTGGGTGGGCAATTTTTTTGCTCACCATTGGGAGAGAATATGTGAAAAAAATTTGCCCATGAGCAAAACTTATTTCTTGAGAGAGAAAGTGGGTAGAGAGAGAGTGGGTGAGCATTTTTTTTGCTCACCATTGAGAGTGGTCTAAGAAGATGGGAAAAACATATGTTATGTAGGAGTTTCTATCAAATTTGTCGTTTGCTTCCTTAGTTGTGGGAATACATGTGTTGTAATCTTGTAAGAATTTAAGTGATGATAATAATAATACTTCAGAAAACTTCTATTTCCTTTGCTTTATCTTTTTAACTGTATAATGAGTTATGACCACAAGTTTATGGTAGTGGATGTTAGGCTCAACACTTGCGAATCTGATACTCACCTAATGAATCAACCTAGGCTAATGATGAGATAAATAATACCTCCGTTAACGATTATCTGCAATTTTAGGTATTATTTTTGAGGTATAAAAAATTCCAAAATTGCAGATGATTATTAATGGGGTAGTAGTAAAAATTAGACTAATATAATAAAGGACGAAGAATAATTGGATATTTGGGACAACGAACTCTAGCAGGTGTGTAGACACCTAATGGCGTCTTCCCGACACAAACTCGGTAATTAATTACCTTTTACTGCCAATTGGTCAGGTTGGGCATCATAAGTAAGAATTGCTTATCCTAACCCGTTTTATTTTAATCCACTTAATACAATCCATTCCTAGCCCAAACATTCATTCAAACCCTTTTCCTAACCCAAAATCTATAAACAATGGCCCAATTTTCCTTTTCGTGACCACAGTCCAAAATGGAGCAAATCTTAGGCTCATAACTTTGATTTAAAACTTATTTGGTTGAATAGCTCTTGAAATAAGCTTTTCAACAATATATCATAAGCCTAATTCCGATTCAAAACGAATGAGATATGAGGAAAACACTAAAACTTGATTGGCCCAAAACCAACGCCCTTGTACTCAAATGGCACTATCTAAATATCTAAATTTTTTTTTGACCTAATTCTAATTGGGTTGGAAAGTAGTTATTCAAGATATATTCAACAGTATGTTATTTATATGTCTTATTCTGAGTTACGGATAAAAAATTATGAATGTTTTTAAAACGCATTAAATCATCCAAACCTCGCACCATGGCGTAGCACACCATGTCATATACGAAGTATATGGTGCATGCACTGTGTCACGACTCCATTCCCATCACCTAGTCTATTAACACCTAACTTTTTTCTAGGTTTTCGTATAGGGATTTAGGTACTCTAAGTGGAATTTCATGAATCATATTCGTTTGCACCTAAACAGGATCTACAAGCATAACACATAAAGTATCACATAATACATACCTTTGACGCGTGATTTCCTCAAGCAATTGACTGTCAATTAGGGAGATAATAGAGCCCCAAGTGTTGCTCCTCTACTTAGTCCACGGGACAGGATTGAACCTCCAATACTGCTAGGTAGTTGAGCACGAACACTTTGAACCACCTTCTACGAAGAGGGGAGGAGAAAACTGACCACGAACACCACTACCATGCGCCACCTTACACTAGGGGCCGTATGGTTGTACAAATGTGAGGAAGGGAGTAAGGAGAGAGATTGTGTGAGACTAGGGTTTGGTTGCTAACTAGTCAATTCTCAATTGACTGTTAAAGTGTGTTTTGTCAAACCCTAGGCAAGGCCTCTATTTATACAACATATGTATAATTAGAGTCCAAACTAAACCTACAATACTCTCCCTTTTATCCCATATAACCGGCCACTCAATGAGGCCCAATAATGAGCTTCTTTCTTTTGTTCAATCCATCACCCTTTTGTGTAACCTTATAGGATCCATTCTATTGGGCTTTGGACTATTTGACTAGCCCAATGATCATTGATCACGTCTAACAACATATAATGCCGTCCCAAAAGAACGAACTTAATTATCTCCATAATTTGATCCATTATATATCTAGTAATTGCACTTGACGAAGACATAAATCCTTCAATCTCCCACTTGTCTGAGACAAGTGTGCAATATTCAAATTCCTTATGTCAATATGTGTCGATTTGATGATATGATTGCATCACATGTCGAGATCATATTAAGCTACAAATCTTTTCTTGAAATTTGAGTTAGAATTACAAAACAAATGATTACGTGGAAATACATTTGAGCGCGGCCACGCATTTATTGAATTCTCCCTCTTCAAGTCGCGATGACACATTCCTAATTAAACATGTAGACTCAATTCAATCTTGTGGCAGCCAAAGCTCCCACTCAACTATTAATGTAACCAGGAAACACATTTATAATCTCCAGTTACTGGAAGACGTTTAAATGTACCACAATTAAATCAATCATTTAATGGAATCAGTGTTCCACTAATGTCAAAGGAATCCACTAATGTCAAAGGAATCCACTAATATATCCGGAAACTCTATACTTGAACTTCAAAGTAGGTCAATAGTTCGATCATGCATCATTTATGCATATCCATATGATTGAACGAGCATCACTATACCCCTATAACCCATGAAACTGCGCTATCCAATCAATCTTACATGCTAGTCCATTTATTGAAATCATTTATGTCCACTTCAAAGTAGGTCAATAGTTCGACTCCATTCCTATCACCTAGTCTATTAACACCTAGCTTTTTTCTAGGTTTTCGTGTAGGGAATTAGGTACTCTAAGCGGAATTTCACGAATAATATTCGTTTGCACCTAAACAGGATCTACAAACATAAAACATAAAGAATCACATAATACATACCTTTAACGCGTGATTTCCACAAGAAATTGACTGTCAATTAGGAAGATAATAGAGCCCCAAGTGTTGCTCCTCTACTTAGTCCACGGGACAGGATTGAACCTCCACTACTGCTAGGTAGTTGGGCACGAACACTTCGAACCACCTTCTACGGAGAGGGGAGGAGAAAACCGACCACGAACACCACTACCATGCGCCACCTTACACTAGGGGTCGTACGGTTGTACAAATGTGAGGAAGGGAGTAAGGAGAGAGATTGTGTGAGGCTAGGGTTTGGTTGCTAACTAGTCAATTCTCAATTGACTGGTAAAGTGTGTTATGTCAAACCCTAAGGCAAGGCCTCTATTTATCCATCATATGTATAGTTAGAGTCCAAACTAAGCCTACAATACTCTCCATTTTATCCCATATGACCGGCCACTCAATGAGGCCCAATAATGGGCTTCTTTCTTTTGTTCAATCCATCACCCTTTTGTCTAAACTTATAGGATCCATTCTATTGGGCTTTGGACTATTTGACTAGCCCAATGATCATGATCACGTCTAACAACAGATAATGACTTCCTAAAAGAACGAACTTAATTATCTCCATAATTTGATCAATTACATATCTAGTAATTGCACTTGACGAAGACATAAATCCTTCAATCTCCCACTTGTTTGAGACAAATGTGCAATACTCAAATTCTTAAGTCAACATGTGTCGATTTGATGATATGATTGCATCACATGTCGAGATCATATTAATCTACAAATCTTTTCTTGAAATCTGAGTTAGAATTACAAAATAAATGATTACGTGGCAACACATTTGAGCGCGGCCACGCATTTACTGAATTCTCCCTCTTCAAGTCGCGATGACACATTCCTAATTAAACAGGTAGACTCAATCCAATCTTGTGGCAACCAAAGCTCCCACTCAACTATTGATGTAACCAGGAAACACCTTTATAATCTCCAGTTACTGGAAGACGTTTAAATGTACCACAGTTAAATCAATCATTGAATGGAATCAGTTTTCCACTCATGTCAAAGGAATCCACTAATATATCCGGAAGCTCTATACTTGAACTTCAAAGTAGGTCAATAGTTCGATCATGCATCATTTATGCATATCCATGTGATTGAACGAGCATCACTATGCCCCTATAGCCCATAAAACTGCGCTATCCAATCAATCTTACATTCTAGTCCATTTATTGAAATCATTTATGTCCACTTTAATGATTTTGAACTATGAACTTAAATAATGTATGAATTTATTAGTTCATATGTGGGGTTTCATTCACCAGGTCATTAACTTAATTGATGAGCCCATCAATTCATAATTATTTTAGACATTTTATTTAATTTCAAAAACCATAACTAAATAAGCAAGATTGAAACTTTGTTTCAATTGATAAACATAATTCTGCAAGCTGATGTATTACTTACGTAACATGTTTTCTCAAAACATATACAACTTAAATTACATAACTTGCTTCAATCCAAGAACCTTAGTATGACTCTCATACCTTATTTATGGAAGGGGTTTACTAAGTATAATTCATGAGACATTCTCATAAATATAAATTTTGTAACTTTTAAATTTTAATAATAATATTCATCTCTACACACTAAGAATTTTCTTTCATCCTTTTACTAAGAATTAGGATTTTCTAATTGTATTCCAATGTTATTATTAAATTGTGACTTGAAATCTAGTAGGGATGACACTGAACACTTATATCTCTCAAACTACAAGCTATTTTGAGGTGATTCAAGTTGGAAGTGATAGCTCGGTTCAAGATCTTTCCAACGATAGGTCGTCATATGCCCAATTCCGATAAGAAACGAGAAAGTTATGACCGTT